ACAAATGCATTTTAATAAGAGAGTTGCCAAAGCAACTTTTTTGCAATCAGCATATATTTACTTAACATCTAGCAACATTGGGAACACAAGGCAGATACTTTCTCACAAATTTTTTTAACAAATATCATTTTTTTTGAAAGATTGGTTGAAGACCTTTTCTTTCAAGCTGATATTTCCCCATCACTTCAATGTTAACTTTGCTCGACATCCAAAGGACTGCTAGATTGGTAAAGCCAGACTGCAACATGAGACAGACAATCTGCTTGATAATGAAATTTCTTTGGTAGTCATAAACATCTTAGAGTCCTTTAAGTAATTTAACTATCAGCATAACCATGACTACCTCTGTTTGAATCATACAATGGATACGTGATGCAGTATGGATAGAATGCAGCTCAATACGGAGCCTTTTGTTTTCTTTTATTTGCATTTCTTGAATATTAGACTCTCGGCTCACTACAGTACAGCACAGAGAGATATTTTATTTATCCTTTCTGCTGCTCACTCATTCAGCATAAACATGGCCAAGAGACTGGATTATCTGTGAGAAAGAATTTAAGATAAACTTCCAGAAATGCAGTTAGACTTTTGACATGTTTTTAAAAACTTACATGTCTCTGTCCCTGCTTAATTCAAATCCAGTTAATTAAACCACTAAGGAGCATAGTGTCTCCCAACTTTAATTAATTCTACTTCTACTGTGGGTGTGGACACATGAGTATCTATGTTTTATGTATTTATTCTCAAGCTATATTATATTCTAATGATTTTTTTTTTTTAAGAATATGTAGAATATTTAGAAAGAGAGAGAAAATTCCTAGGCTTCTTTCCTTCTTTTTTTTTTTTTCCCCTTTGTTTTTGACTTTTTTCCCACCTTTCCTTTCCCAGCCCTGATGGCTGCCATGCAGATGGAGAGTGGCATGTCCTGTGTTATGTGGGCTGGGTGGCTAGATCTCAACCTGCAAAAATATCTCAGGAAAATAGAGGGGAAAACCTAGATTCCTCTTCATTGTGGGGAATCGGGATGATTAACACAATTAGGAAAAAAAACGCCTTTGTGAGAGAGCAAGGTGAGATGAAGGGAGCAGTGGGAAGGGGGAAGAGTGTTAGCTTTTGAGCTAGAAATACTCCAGCGACTCACATTTCCTTTTTTCCTACACATATCAAGGGCAGCAATCTCAAAGCACTGTGCAACAAGAGGAACACATTTTATTGAATTTCTGCAAGCAGAGGTATCTGTCAATCCAAGTTTAAATCACTTAGTGGTCCACCACAAGCTCTGGGAGTCCCAGGTGACATCAAAATTTAGGTTTTCTGCACTGGATTAGCATCTGGTGGGGTTTCCACAGTCAAGAAGTGTCCAATAATCCAACGCTGAATGGGTAGACATGGCACTTTGGGTCATGGTTTAATCTAGTCTACCCTTGATTGGTTTAGCGTGGACTTGGTAGTGTAGAACTGGATGATCTTAAAGGTCTTTTCCAACCTAAACAATTCTATGATTCTATGATTGGGGTAGGTTATACAAAGCTTTACCCCAGTAGCCCAGCATTTTTTCTGGATGTCCCACATGCAGAGGGAGTTGAACAATGGCTTGTTTCAGTCTTTGGCTGAAATAAGAACTGTGTGGTGTTTTTTTGGTGGCCATATAGGAGCTATACATGAGCCATACGCTTCCCAAGCTGTTCACCCTCTTCCCTTTTGCTGCAGTGTAGAGACTGAGGGGTTTTTTTGCTTCATTTCTCCTTCCCCATAGGATTCTTCCCTTCCTGTATTAAAGTTTGGTTTTGGCATTGTCTGAAAATAGTTCATCACTGCAAATAATAGTTATAACCACCAGAGATGCATAAGTACACTTTGAAGTGAGTGAATCAATAATACGGTTTTGTATTTTTGTTGTGCTGTGTGAATTTATCGCCCTTTTCCATATCTCCATAGAGTGCCTATCAGTAGGATTGCTAAAATTGCCTCCATCCCTGTTCTGCAGCTAAAATAAATGTAAGAAACAAATGTATCTATAGAAATGTATAGTGGTAAAGAACTAGAAGGATACCATGAAGGAAACTTTTTTTTTTTTCACAACAATGCAGTAGTCCCCAGACCAAAGTTTGTAGGAAGACTATGGGCAGAAGCCCCTGGGCTTATCCCATGGCACTTTTCTGGCTTTTATCTCCTCTTTTCCATTGGTGTAGCTATACCATGAAAGGGAAGAATCTCTGAGACATGTTCTAAAACGTGATCCAGGTGACCTGTAAAGGTTTGGACGTCCTGGAGGAACACAGCCATGCATGGTGCAGTAGCATGGCCCAGAGCACAACATAATGCAGGCAAAATATATAATTTGTAGGATTTTTAAGAACATTGATCATGGGTAGGATCCAAGGTGTATTTATTTATTATAAAATGGTAATGGTATTAACTAGATACGGTGTCCCGTATTTCCTGGGGCTATATAGGTATCTTTTTGTTTAATAACATAGGATCTTGTTGAACACAACCTTGGTACATCATTATGGTGACATGCAAAAGAAGCTCACCCCTCCATTTGCAGCTTTATAAGGTGACAAGAGAAATCCTTAATAAGCCACAAGTAGAATATCATAAAAAGTGTTTCACACCTGCCCCCCCATACACACACACTTTGTTGGCAGCCCAGCGGTGTATTGAATTTAACACACATTTACCTGCCGTGAGCCGATATTTTCAGAGGATCAATGCTTAACAGCAGGACTGTTCTACACTTCAGTCTAAAACTACCATGCGAGTGGATTCAGCCTTTGAAGTGGTTTTTCCAAAGTACTATAGCAAGAAAGAGAATCCAGGCGTCCTGGCTCCTCTATAAGCAACCTGAGGGGCACACCCTTTGCAAATAAGAGGGTTAATGTCAGTTGTCATTCCTTGTGGGTATTTATTGCTGACAGCAGCATCGTAATTCTGCCTGGTAAGGCAATGCTAATTCCGGACTGTAGCCTTTGCGAAAAGGATGGCAAAGAGAGAGGGATCTCAAGAAATATTTAAGTAAGTGAAGTACCTGGCACAATGGAGACTGGCAGCTCTATCTAAAGCACTTCATTTCCTTTTTTTTTTTTTTTTTTTCCCCCCAGATTTGTCTTTCATTTGTTTCTCTGGTCCCTCTGTTTATTTCAGCAGTGCCTGATAGAGGGACGGTATGTTAGCACACCTTAATATTGAACAATTTATGCTTGTTGTTAGTTATACATCATTTAGGGCTGTGATCAGAAATTGTTCAATCACAAGGTTTAGTCAAAGCTAGCATTCTTTACTGATGTCTTTTCCCAAGGGTGCTGAAAATTCGATTGTTCAAAGTGCAAATATGGTTTAGCAATCCCTTCCAAGAACCATTTATCAGAAATCCTAAGGAGGTAACATATAAAAGTGGGATAGGAAACCTGCACATTAAATGGGATTTACCAGCCAAAGCCTTTGGAACTGCTTTCCTGTGAATGACTGGAATGGAGCAGAACAAAGTCAATTACTGACTGTAATTAAGGAGTGGATGCATTTAAACTGTAGAGAGCAGTAGCAGTCTTCTTGAAACTGTCTAGTTACTCTGAAGATTAGTCTGAGGAAAGAAAGAAAAGGACTTGAACTATATCTTACAGAAAGTATATTTTAAATGAATTCTCTTCCCTCCTTTCTATGATCTGTTTTTACAGATTTGCTCATAAAACACTGATAATATATGATTATCGAAATAACACATTCAGACAAAGAAACTTTCAACATGTATTTTGCTTTGGTCTTGTTAGCAATGGAGTATCTCTTTTGCATATCATACAGTGCAAATGTTTATGCAGTGCTGAATACTTGTATTTTAATAAAGCCTGAATTTACTGAACGGAAGACTGAACTATGTTGTGTCCTTTTTAAGCCTTCGAAATACAGTAAATCTGATTATATATGTTGCTCTTACTTTGAAAATGTTATTCCATTTTATAATTTTAATAATGATTTTTTTATACTGGGAGAGAGGCATTAGATTGAATTGTTGCCTGTGTTTAGTCTAATTCATATCTGCATGTAAACATTAATAAATTGTGATATAAGATATTTTGAACCCAAACCTTGCCGTGTGAGCCGAGCACAGAACTGCAGGTCAGCTGTTTCAGCTACTCACCTTAAGTTGAATTTTGATTTTTTTTTTTTTTTTTTGATCAAGGGAATGGTGAGTGTGTGAGTAGTGATTAACACTGTGACTGTGGACTAATAAGGGAATTGAGATTTCCCCAACAACTAACTCTCCCATGCGCATAGGGAACAATGGGGTGGCTGGAGGTCCGCTCCTGATGGGCGCGGATGGGACGGGATGAACATCTGCAGCCGGGCAGCCTCCCGAGCCCACGCCGGGGGACCATTCCCACATTCTCCGCAGCGCTCTCACAGGATGTCTCCGCTGGAGCTGCGCTGACGGGATTTTCCTTAATGCTGATGACTTTGGAAACCTTCCTTACAGGCATTTCCTCAATAACGGGAGGGTTATAGAACAATTAATAAAACATTAAGCTGTTTTGTCTTTTTTTTTTTTTTTTTCTTTTTTTTTCTTTTTTTTTCCCCCCGGTAGTATTTCAGTTTTAGGAAAGATGCAAGGAGTACCCAGGCTGGTGAGGATCCATTGTTTCTTTTATGCTTTGGTAAAAACTCTTGACACGGGGCAGATGCAGTGGAACAGTAGCACTTCAGGTTGATGGATTTACATAGATAGGCTGTGCCAGGTCTTAACGGCTTTGCTCTGCTTTTCCTCGCGCTTTGTTCAGAGAGAAATCTCTGTTGTCCACTGTGTTCGTCCGTTCCCCAGGAAAGACCTGAAAACCTTTCGGTCCTGAGTAATACCGTGCCCCCATGTGCAGCCCAGACTAAACCTGCAGCCCCGAAACGCTGAACCCCCAGCGTGCAATGCCCACGTGCGGATGCTACCGGTGTGCAAGCAACTCTTAGCAACAACAAGAAGCAGCTTTGTTTTCAGAGCTGAGGTTTGGAGCATGGGCAGGATGAGCTCCTGCCCCTTGCAAAACGCGGGGGAGATGCAACCCTCCATTCGCTCCTCTGCAAACACGCAGAACCGCTGCGCCCTGGCTCATGCTCCACGGCCACGTGCACCAGGGCTCTGCTTGAACAATCCCGGCGCAAAGCCCTGCGCAGCGCCCTGCCTCAGTTTTGCCATCTGTAAAATGGTCGTTGCGACCTGCTGTGTAACGTACCTGGAGGTCTGCTCAGGTGAAAAGATATCTACGCAAAAAAAAAAGTGATGTATCATTGTTATCGCGGTGGTTTACAGAAGTTCAGACCAACAGAATATGCATGCATGTTTCCACCAAATATTGTTAGGCAGTGAAACAGCGTTATCAGGGGAATGAATATTCTTTTGATAAATATTCCCAGTGAGTGGGTCAAAAATGTAAATTGACTTCTATTCAGACAAACTGGGGATTTTTTTTCATGATAAATGGGCTCCTAATTACTCTGCTACAGCCATCTTTGATGGTAATTTTTTTTTATGTGAAAATGAGTGACATTATTAATTTTACTAAAATGCTTGGAAGTGGACTCTGCAATCACAGGTATATAATAAACGCGTAAATTCGAGAATGGAGGTACCGGATATAAAAATACTAATACCAAAATAGAAATGGAAATTGAAAATAACAGGAATTAATTCCCATATTGCATTCATTTCTTTTTAGGGTGCTTTGCTTTACATTTGAACTGTGTCTTGTAACACCGAGTTCCCTGGCTTTTCGTGACTTTTGTCACATTCCCATTATTTTTGCACTATTTGTGTTCGGTGGTTGCATTGCTGAGACAATATCTCGTTTGTTGTGACATATTCAAAACTGTTTTCAGACAGAGGTTCAAAACTCCTCAGTAACCAGGCACTCCAGGAGATGATTCTTGGTAGGGAGGAAAAGCATTTGGGTGCGTAGGAGAGAAAATAGAAGAAAATCATCTGTCCAGTGTGTGCTTTACTTACCTGTCTGTGCCTGTGCCCTCCCCAGATCACGACAGTGTCAGGAAATGAGTTCCTCCTCCAGTCGGATATCGACTTTCTCATATTGGATTGGTTCCACGCTATCAAAAATGCAATTGACAGATTGGTATGTATTTGTTTTGGCTGTTACCTTTATTAATTAAGATGTAGCAATTTCAACTTCATTTGTTTAGGCATCTCTACAGGTTTTAGGCAGTCAGCAGCTAGCTAGACATTCCTTTCTCTGAAGGATGTAAAAATATGTATGCAAATCTACTGAAAAATGTCAGATAAACAAGGTTGTTGAACAAAAATGTCATTTGATTCTTGCCTCGAAACGGAACGCTACATTTATTTCTCTGAAATAACAAGGACATTGGTTTGCTGAGGGTTGTAAAAGCACACAAGCACTTAACAACTAATGAATTTTTGCATTTTCTGTTTATGCAGCCTACAGTATATAATCTTCAATAGAACTATTAATACATTTGAGCCTTTTATGAATTTTTGTATTACTTATTCACAAGAATAACACTAGCAAATAATATTCCTTTGTAACTGATTGCTGTTATTCTCCCAGGAAGGCTGGGGGTTTTCTACTAGAAGTAAGCAGGGCTGTGTTTTATTAAAACAGTTTTTAATTACCAAACCAGATTCAGCTGTAGCTTTTTCTTTCTTTTTTGCCACTCTCAATACAAATTCCAAATGTCTTCCTCCTATCCCTGCCTGATCCAAGAACGTATTTTTTTAGAGGGCACTGGCTTTCCTTGTTAACTACAGAAGCTGGTGAGAGAAAAATATCCCCATTTTCTTGCATTTTTTTTTCAGAGGTTTTGCTGCAATGGAATTGGCAGAGCAGGCAGAAGCAGCCTCTTTGAAAGGGTTAATTTGAACACGGCTACTGTTTCCTTAAAGAGCTACAAACATTATATTACCCTGAGGCTATAATCAGCCAAGGAAAGTTTGATCTGATGATGTATGTCTTCATATTGTGCATTTCATTGGGTGTGTGAGGATATTGATATCCTACTGAAGATTTTGGGGTGGAGTTTTCCGTGGAGACTCAGAACATTTTTTTTTTTTTTTTTTGCATGTTATTCAGCTAAACATCTAATAGACTTGATTTTTTTTTTTTTTTTTTTTTTTTTTTTTTTTTTTTTAGTGCAACTAAGGTAATTTTGTGGCTTCAGCAGCTCTGAGCGTGCAGGGAACCACAGCAGCAGTGGCTGCTGGGGCACAACTTGTAAATGGCTCAGGTAGCGGAGGGCAGGGCTTGTCCCGGCGAAGGTTTGCCTTTGCTGTGCACGCAGGACAGGATGCCACCGCGAAGCTCCCAGTGACCGTTTCACAAGTGTCATTTCTTTCAGTTTTAGAACTTTGAGTGAGTGTGTAAAGCCTTGCAGCTTTCCAGGCTGTTGGGATGGCTAAATCTCACCTGACCAAATGCCATGGGAAGAGATGTGTGACTAGCTGAAGTATCATCTCCTTTTTTCTTTTATTTTTTCTTATTTTCTCCGTTAATGGTCCCTAATTGTCACTTTGTATGCCAGCGAATTAGAGAAATATAAAAGTGTGCCCCCTCCCTTTCCTAACCTTAGACTGGCAGAATTCAACCCCAAATTTGTAAGCATGTTTGAAACAATTGTGTTTGCAAGAATATTTACTGTAACTATCTAAAGCAGAAAGGCGATTTAAACAACCTTCCTCTTTGCAATCATTTGGAAGTAGCCTGCAATGTGGAAATAATTTGGGTCTCTAAAGCCTAAAGAAGTAGGCCTTTTGTTTTCCTCACTTAAATGAGAATTTATCTCAGAAATTAAGATCAGTCTGTCAGGGCCATAAAAGCTCTGCCATATGACAAATTTTGCATTACACTTTCCTTAAATTGTATACTCACTGCATCACTCTTAGCTTCTGATTCTGTACTGGCATTCTGTAATCTCTTGCTTCATTCTTACAAATAATAATTTTATTAAAAGCATACACATGGGTGTATATATATGTATTCTTTTCCCAGCCAAAAGAACGGAGTTGTACATCAAGAAATTTGGAGTTCAAAGTCAGAAGATCCTCCAGCATCGAATTACTGAATAGCTTAGACACTGAATCCAAAGAACCAAAGCCTGAACACAGAAAATCTTTAAGTAAGGCTTTTTTCTTTTCCGTTTTTTTTTTTTTCTTTTTTTTCCTTTCCTTTTTAAATAACTATGCCATTACAGGGCAAGATAATTTTTATTACATACAGAATGTAAGGAAGATCACTGAGAATTTTAAAGCTGAATGTGTTCTGTGCTGATATACATAACTTGCATTTAAGTAAAGACAGTTACTAGCTCCGCACTTTTAAAGGGTGACATTCTCTCCTAAGCAAAATAAATTTGTTTAGCAGCAAAGACATTTATTCAAGCCATTTATTTTTAAAAATAAGCAACATGAGTCCTATGCTAATGGTCTGTTGCAGTTGCTTTGTTTCCATTTTAGTAAAATACCTCAAATTGCCAGAGTAATTTTGTCTGTTGTGTATTTATACACTGAATTGCTGAAAGACCTGACGTATCCTCTGTAGCTGACAGTCACTGATGTATCTATAATTTTATAGAAGGTAAATTCCAGGGATCGAGGTTGATTTTTGTCAGTGTGATTAGAAAAGAAAGTGATCTAAAACTAGCAGGGATGTGCTTTATTCCACTGAGACTTTCCTTTTCCAGTTTGTGCTGAGATGCTCATGATATTGTGGGCAGTAGACGCAGGGGCTGGTGCTGACCAGGAATCAATCACTCAGCATTTTTTTCATTTCCCCCCCTCTCTTGAATTTTTGTTTTTCTTCTTTGTTTGGCAGCAGATTCACATACTGTTTCTAATGTAAGTGCCGCGACAGCTTCAGACTCGCGTGCTGGTACGAGATACCTGTAGGTACCGAAGGGCTGTGGAGGAATTTGCCTGCACGCATTTCAGTGCAGGATCAAAGCCTTGGATGTTAGGAAAAGAGTTGCATTAAAAAGACCTAACGTAGCTATATTTAATGATAATTATCCACACAACCATAAATATATGCACACATGCGTGCGCGCGTACCCGCACAAATACAGAGATTCATTAAATAGTCTCTTTTTGCAGACCGAAGCTTTTTGTTGTTGTTTTCCTATTATCTCGGAGATTTGGCTTTTTTAAGGTTTTTCCTTCTGTTATAAAATATAAAATAGCCTGAATGTAGCTTGTGAAAAATTGTCCCAATATCTTTGTACTCTGTATTATGTTGCATTTCTCAGAGGAAGAAAAATAAGACTGAGAGCATGGTAAGTTCTGAGGGCCTGATTCTGCTCTTATTGTAGCTAATAGCAAAATGCCCATAAACTGGCTCAACACTCAGGGAATTTTTATTTATTTATTTAGACTTCTCACATATCTTTAAATGATAATTTGTCAGACAAAACAGAAAAAGTGAGTATGAGCAGTGACAGAGCCTTAGTCTACGTTTCTTTTCAAACCTTAGAGAATCCTGAATAACCCCCGTTTTGTTAAAGGCTATTTAAACTATTAAAAAATGTGAAAATACCTGCCTTGAAATCTCACTGAATCGAAGCTTGCATTTAAATACTGTAGATTGGATTGCTTCTAAAATATGTATTCAGAACTTTTTTTTGGCCCCTTGAGATCAAGCAATTATGTGGAATTAGAAAAATCATATTATTCACTTACTTATTAGTAGTCTAAGCACAAACTGTATTGTCAGTTTTCTGCCTTTGGCTTTCTGTGCCCTTAATGTTCACACAAGTATCGTAGCCAGAATTATCGGCAGCTAGAGCCAAAATTGCTTTAAAAAGGCATGAGAACTGGTAATGACACATTGTTAGCAGTTAACAGGTGGTCGTTTCATTGTCCAGTTTGACTGCAGAGCACAGAGAAGATATGTGCAATATCTGCAAGCGTGTTTATAAAGTTCTCACAAAGTTTAACGATTTTATAATTTTATAGTGCTCTTATATTATTGACTACTGCCAATGCCAAATCCAAACAAAGGAGATTTTTTAAAGATGGCTCAAAACTCCCCCAGTGTAACACGCAAGACAAACAAGTGATGTGTTAGCACACCACCACCCCCCGACAATCCTTACTGAAATATTCAGACAGTTCAGACTCATTTGTATTTACCTTCTCTGCATTTTAAGGGCTGCAAAAAATGTCCGGTTTTAGACTTGTGACTTTTTTTGGCTGTGTCATTGGGGCTTTTTAGCAGCACAAGTATATAAAGGACAGGTATATTCTAACCAAAGTATTCCAGTAAATTACTCTTTAATTTAAAACTGGGGAGGCTGCCCCTAGAGACTTAGTAGCAGGAATTTGGTTTTTCTGTTTAATCCTAATTGCTTCTGCTTACACTACAAGGACAAATGGTAATTCTCTGTTATGCTTTTTGAGCTGTAGACACTGATTTCATTGAAAATTGGGCTCAAACTGCTAGGCTCAATTTCCAAAGTTCACAGAGTGTCCGTTTCTTGGTCATGCAGCTTTTCAGTGGCTTCTCAGCCAGTTTGGATTCAACTCATGTTCTAATTGAAGTTTGCTTGAGCTAAGAAGAAACCAAGGATAGCCTTGGGGAACATTACCAAAATATGTAGAACCGTGATCCTGCTCTCAAATACATGGAAAGAGACTACTCTTCATTTTATGATGCCAACTATTTCACCGATTAAATTTATGCAGCTAATGCTGGGTCAGAAAGAACAGGTTTTGCACCGTAGCAACCCCCCGCATTAGAAGATGTATACGTTTGGTGCAAGGAAAGTACCTTGCAGCATCGCTCCTTTTTATGCAAATAAGTGTGGTTCTAACCTAATAATTTTTAAAATTAGTGGCAGACTTCATAATTTCCAAGTAATTTCGTTATCATTCAGACTGTAGGTTTTCATTTTTTTCTCCTAAGGTTGCCAAAAACCCTTCTAATTAGTACCAATTATAATTGGGTCTGCTGGTAGGTGGTCTGCCACATTAATTTCATACCACATGAAACCAGGCACCTGGATTAGACTGAAAGTAGAGATGCTGTTACAGCCCATGGGAGGCGGGGAAAGGATCTGTGCATTACAAGGTTCCCAGAAATCGTTCAGCTCTCCAAAAACCAGGAGCCCTTTCTGTGTGTATGGCCTACAAGAGCTGTCAAGACAGTCATGTTGCGGGCAATGAAACCAACTCCACGCTCTCCGCTACGCTCAGCGTTTCTTTTTCTGTCCATGGTGGCTTTGTGGTTTGCATTTTGGCCACCATCTGGGTATTTTGTCACTCAGGAGTGACCTCTTGTGGAAAAGCATGGGCTGGAGTCGCTATCGATTGTCGGAGGGGATCAATTCCCCTTCTACTCCCCCTTTTCCGGATGGAAACAAACGGCTTCGCAGTAGGAAGAGTGCCCTTTGGCTACTGTATCAATCTGAGGGCTGGTCTTGTCAAAATGCACAATCACAAGCTTGATAATGCAATCCATTCCCAAAGCACTATATTTCCAACCTGTTCTCCATCATTTCCTTATGGCGTCACATTTACTCAGTTCATCACATTCTTATTAATATTTTAGGTTTCCTTGAAAGTGATGGAATTCTATTTTTATTACAAAAGCAACAAGAATAAATACTAATTGTTGTCAGTTATTTCCTTATGTAGTGGGAACAGTAATCTGTTCCTCAGCTTTAGGTTGCCAAAGCAAAATAATTAAATATTTTAGACATTTAAAAAATCTGTGATATTAGATAAATGCAATTTGATCTCCTTCTTTGCCACAGAAAAGCTGGAACTGCCTGAATTGATAAGATTGAATTGCATTATTTTTATTGTTTCTACTTGCATATTTTTCTTATCTTCAAGAACACTTTACTTAAAACCCAGGGGTTAGTCATGCAGCCCTGTGATGACGGATCCTGGAAAATCTCCTCCATATTTAGATTCCAGCTTGGGGAGCCACAACCAGAGCATCAACATTTTTTTAAAAAAATTTTATATATATATATATACACATATGCGAAAGGGAAAGTCTTGATGGTCTGTGCAGTATTACTGCTATTCATGATCACTTTAGTGTCTCAATAAGAGTAGTAGGGGATCCGGGCATCATTGTGCCAGACACAATGAGACACCAAAGTAAGACAATTCCAGCTCTCAGCCTGAATAAGGACAAGTTACAACAGGTGGAAAAAGCGGACAAAAGCAGGGGGTGGAAGGAAACGTTGACAGCAAAGCCGACATGTCATGCATATTAAACAGCAGGCTTGGGATTCCTTTCCACTCTTCGTTAGGACCGGGGTCTTAGCCCCGGCACCCTGGCCACCGGCCAACTCAAATAATGATATTTTCCTTACCTAAATTCCTCTTGCACTTTCAACAGGGAGCGATGAGTCTTTGCAGTCCCAAAGGGCGATGCATTGCTCTGGGATGCCACAGCCCTCGCAAGCTTCCCTGGGGAACGGCCGCAGGGCAGCGTCCGGGAATTTGCCTCCTAGCATCTTTTTAATCAAGACAAAAATAATAACCTTTGGATCATAATTTTGATTTGCCTTCAGAGCTATTTGCTACAAAGTCATCAGGACTGTGATTTTGTTTCTTAAAAGATTTAGTTTCTTAAAAGATTTAGTTTCTTAAAAGACACAGTTTAAGCCAGGCTACTCCATCCTTAACACTTAACCGAAGACTCTGTGTGTACTTTAAAATTGCCCAAAGTTGCTTTTCTCTTTTCATTCACTTCTCTTTACTTTAGAAGGCTGAATTTTGAAACTCAAAGCACAGCATGTAAATATTCCTCAGTAATTACTAAAACATCCAGAATAATTTCTGAATGCAGTTTGTTAGATAATTGAGACTGTACAATGTCTGTGTGTGGGGGGGGGAAATGGCAGCAAAAATCCATTTTGGTCTCTCGGTGGACGTGATGGAAGAACTGGAGAAGTCAGTGGAGCTTTAACCCTTTCCGGCTCCGCATGGTGGTTGCTTCTTCCCTGGCTAAAGCTTCTTCTGAGGGCTTGCTCGAGGGTTTAAAGTTTGTCCCCGCACACGACTGGATATTTCTGTGGCAAACACCGCCTTGCTGAGGCTATTGTTTCTCTGCAGAGGGAAGGGATGGTTACCAGGGCACAAACGCACTTATTTGCACGGCTTCAGC